CACACTGTATGCATCACGTTGCCATAAATATGTTTTAATGTTTGGTTCTGATCTGCTGTCAGGTCCGTTTCCTCTGCTGCTGCTGCAGCTGATAGAACCGATCAGAACATGAATCATTCTGCTGGTATTGATCACAGAGAACATTCAATCAGTAACATTCATTCACTCTGATTGGGCCAAAAGTTAAAGTGATTTCCTGCATTCTGGGACAGAGTCAGACCTGAATGAGCTTCAGCACCAGATCAGGTTTAAATGTATGAAGGTTAAAGTTTAGCTTTATCCTGCAGCTGTCAGAAATAATCAGCTTCAGTGTTTAGTTCAACAAACACATGAACACGTTGAACAGTTTCTACCAGCATTCCTGTCTTCACCGTGTGCAGAAGCGGCGCCTTTTCCCATCATAATGTTGATGTTCCTCATTGTTCTCCATTCAAACAATGTGCTGACTGAAGCAGCTGCTCACCGTCGTCTACTTTAGAGCAGAAGAAGAGTCGCGTGACGTCTTCAGCGCCTCCTTTAATGTGAACAGAGTCTGCAGCAGGAAGTCTGAGCTGACAAAGTTGAACCTGCTTCGTGATGCCTGTGATCTCTGCTGGGGCTTTAGTTTCTGCTGAGGCTGTCAGACTGCCTTCACAGTGCAGCCCTCTGGTCTGAGTGTGTTTTGCAGTAAACCACTAAGTGCTCTGCTCTGTCCTCACAGAACTTTGTGTGTTTCATCAGCATAGCGCCGCTAACTGTAAGCGTACAAACATCTTTTTTGGGGACTATGTGAATTGATTTGAAGTAACAGATCAAAATCACAGCATCAGGATGTCTTCTGCCCATATCCAGTAACAACACTTACATAGTAGTCAGAGATGAGGTCCTGCACACTCTCCCCCATGTACTCGATGAGACACCTCAGAGTCACATCCCTCCTCTTCACCACTGAGGCACGAGGGTCCTAGAAGTGAACCACAAATACAAACTCTGGCAATTTCATTTCTCTCTTCTTGTGTGGCTTGTTTGACTTTCTCAGTTCATAATGAGCTACATGACAGTCATGACAGGCAGCAGCATGTCTCAATGCAAGGCAGACATGATGACATTAAAACAGCTGCATCACAAAGATATTCACATGAACTGGCACATTTAGCACTTTGGGCTCGAGTCCCACACTCAGTTGGGTTTTGATCTTCCTCACAGACTCAGGTCCGTTTGTCCTGTAGCCACCTGTAGCCACCTGTAGCCATGTGTAGGTGGGTGATGCCACATGAACATCCACATGAATGCAGCTCCGAGGCTCCCACCACAAACATGCAACAAACCAATCAGCGCCGTCCACTTCCCCTGCCAGCAGTTCGACCGCGGTGGTCCACCTGTGTGCACCCTGTGGCTGAAGAGTTACTGTTTGACCACAACTAACCTGTTATGACATTGACCTCACCTGAATCAGGTCAGTCAACACACTTTTCATGCGTTGTCCAACAGCTCCCCCCTTTGACCTGAATAATTCCAGGAACTTTGGCATGTACCTGTCCAGCTGGGAGATGAATGTGGACTCGAGGGGGATCGTGTTGCACCTTCGGAACTCTTCATTTATCTGAAAGACAGGATTTTGTCTCGTATGACACTGAAGACACATTTATAGCAAATGACACAATATAATTCAATACAGCCCGGGGTGTAGGCCTCTCCTTGGTTTGAAATATGTGGACGTTTTTCCACCAGAGGGCGCTGTTGGACAGTCCTGCTCCTTGGAAGTCTTCTGTGTTTGACACTTAACAAACACTTTAGAGAACCTTTTGGAAAAATCCCACCATGTCTAATAAAGCTATGCACATATAGTTACAGCAACAGGTTTGGATATAAAAACAAACCAGAAACCTGGTGAGAAAGTAAAACTGGGTTCAAGCAACATGACACAGAAAACCAGGAACACGCTGACCAGGCCTTTAACAGACGCTGTGACGCGCTACAGGCCGGTCAGAGATGACCTCAGACCGCTAAAACGTGATGTCAACTATTTCCAGTCTACTACAAACGGCTCTCAGTCATTCACTCCACATTCATTCATTCATTCATTCATTCATTCATTCATTCATGACAGTGTTTACCTTCTCCACTCTGCTCAGGAGAACATGAGCCTGTTGTTTATGGGACATCGCACCATCACATGATTGAGCAGCAGCGATTAGCCAATTAGCTTAGCGACACAAAATTAACTAGCAACCATTTTTGAGAAACAGTATTCAAACTCCAAGAAAAGCTACTGAACAACAGATCAGGTAGAAAGACCTCCGCTCTTCATCGCCTTCTAATAAACTCACTGTGGAACCATTTATGTACATCCAAGACCTAGTCTGGTCTCTTTTTCTATGATGTTGTGCTTCTTTAATATCTTCATGCTAACCAGACTGTAGCTCCAGGTCAGGACGCACTGCGCTACATGGAGTCGTGGAACAGAAGGATCGCTCAGCGGCTGTATGTACCTGAACCGGGTCGAAGAGGGCCGGCCATCGCTCTTTGAACTCTGCGATCTGCACGGCCTGGCCCACCACTTCTCTCCGTCTGCAGCTGTATGTTCTGGACATCATGTCATTTATCAGCGGGCCGTTGTCCTGCATCTTGCTCGCTGCTATGAGCTCAAGTCTCACGTTTTCCAGGCTACTGTCTGTTTCGCCCGCTGGGTGTGAGGGCAGGTAGTTGACCTCAGACTTCCTGGGTTTCTTGATGTTCTTCGCAGGTTTCCTGTCGCCCTCCTGCTTGTGTTTCAGTGTGTTTATAATCAGCTCAGGGTTTCCGTGTGCTTTTAGTTTGCTCCGGTAGTTTGCACATTTGTATTTCAGACTTTGCTGCCACCCATAACATCCGTTAAAAGAGCCGGGCTCCCTCAGGCATGGATGCTTCTCGATCAGCGCCTGTGCCACCGCCGCCCGCTGCGGGTCGTTGGGATACGCCGTGTAGGAAAACATGGTCTCGGCCAGGCGCTCCAAAATGTCTGACTTGACACTTGGTGTTGTCAGTGGAGTTCCATCTTTGAGGAATTTCTCGTTGCCTTGCCTCAAAGCCATCTCAGTGTTGTAGGAGAAGGTTGGGATGGGGAACAGGGCCGGCCACAGGTTCTGCCTCTCAGTGGCAGGAGGGCTGGGAAGCAGGTTGTCTTGGGAGTCCACAGACAGCAGATCATCCACAGAGGACACATCAGAGGTGTCCGGGTGGTGCTCATGAGAAACCGTGGTCATGATGATGCCTGGGGGCATGCGCACTACCTTCAGCGTGTCTTTGTCCTTCAAGTCACTTGTAGAGGTCAGCGTGAAGAAGTCATCAAAGTCAGCGTCTTTGTACTGGAGGCCGATGTCTGTGGTGATGGAAAAGGCCTGTTTGAACACTTTGATCAGGTCCTCCACCGATGAGGGCAGGCCGTTCTGGAAAGTAATCTTCTTGATATCATGTTCGATGATGACCCGAAATCTCATCGCTTGTTGCAGATCTGCACATAAAGGAAACACAGAAAAGGTCAGAAGGTCATTCCTGGAAACCAGAAACAGCTCAGGATTCCTCACCAGAAGCCCAGTCTGCATTCATTCATGTCTGGCCTCAGAGAACACAAAACATACCAGAACAAGCCATCGATCAGTGATGTCGCTGACAGTGGGTTCTGAGTGGGTTCGTGTGGACCTGATAGTATCGGGCCCTGAGAGCATTAGGAGTGCATCCAGGACAGGACCAGGCGGGGGCGGCACGAGCCATGAAGGGCTCCACCCAAAACTACTTCAGTCTGCGTTTCAGGAGATCCGGTCGAAGCCGGGGAGTCACTCACCGCCTTGGTTTGTTTTTACAAGAATGACCAACAATCACCCAAAAACCGGTCAGAAGTATGAAGCTCTGCTGCTGTGAGAATTCAACCAAATCTTTTCATGTTTTCAGTGAATGTTGTCTGACCCAGAGACAATCTAGTGTCCACGTTTGGTTCTCCTACGACTAGTTCCACCACCAGTCACGTGAGCCCAGACGCCCCTCTGCCCCAGTACTGAAGACTGTTAAAATACCCAAAGTTTAGGCCAAAATGTCTCCAATGCCGGAGCATGCTTCAAAACACGGAGCCTACCGTCTAAAAGGTGGGACTTCATACGGACATTATCTGCAAAACAGTCTTTGGCCACTCACTGAGTGATCCTACAGGACGACTGCAAACACGTCACACGCTTCAGTTTATTATGACTGATTCTGTAATTATGGCAGCAACAGACAGAAAATGCCACAGAATGGTTTCACACCATAAACTCTAATGAAACAGAACCACTTAGAAAGCTTTAGTCCGTCCTGAGCCATGACAATAAGAACCGGCGGCTTCATAAAGACCTCTGTTACTGTAGAAGTGAACTATGTGACGCTGAGTCCGACCAGGACTCACAGAACACTGTCACCACGCTCACTCTGTCTGGAGATGAACGGGACAATGACTGCATCATAACTTTTACTTTTGTTTGTCCAAGAAAGGAATAAAACATTTGCTTGAAACTTGCACGGCAACATCGCATCTTAACACAGAAAACTTTGTCAAAAAGACTTCCTCTGCTGAGCGTCAACTGATTTGCTTGTGACTCCATGTTGGCTCCTAAAAACAGAGAGAAGCGTTTGGCTGTAAGCGGTCAGTGGTTTACTGCAAAACACACTCAGACCAGAGGGCTGCACCGTGAAGGCAGTCTGACAGCCTCAGCAGAAACTAAAGCCCCAGCAGAGACCACAGGCATCACAAAGCAGGTTCAACTTTGTCAGCTCAGACTTCCTGCTGCAGACTCTGTTCACATTAAAGGAGGCACTGAAGACGTCACGTGACTCTTCTTCTGCTCTAAAGTAGACGACGGTGAGCAGCTGCTTCAGTCAGCACGTTGTTTGAATGGAGAACAATGAGGAACATCAACGTTATGACGGGAAAAAGCGCCGCTTCTGCACACGGTGAAGACAGGAATGCTGGTAGGAACTGTTCAACGTGTTCATGTGTTTATTGAACTAAACACTGAAGCTGATTATTTCTGACAGCTGCAGGTTAAAGCTAAACTTTAACCTTCATACATTTAAACCTGATCTGGTGCTGAAGTTCATTCAGGTCTGACTCTGTCCCAGAATGCAGGAAATCACTTTAACTTTTGGCCCAATCAGAGTGAATGAATGTTACTGATTGAATGTTCTCTGTGATCAATACCAGCAGAATGATTCATGTTCTGATCGGTTCTATCAGCTGCAGCAGCAGCAGAGGAAACGGACCTGACAGCAGATCAGAACCAAACATTAAAACATATTTATGGCAACGTGATGCATACAGTGTGTGATGCTGTAGCTCCACGGCTTCATTCAGTGATATTAGCTCAGCATGTTAGCTGATAAACACATTCCCTCAGCTGAGAGTCTGGATCGCTCATAAATAACAGTCAGGAAACCGTCTGGTTAAAGGGAGACGCTCTGGAGATCATAACCTGCTCTAGACCAGGTTAGCTCCACAGCATCAGTTACCATGGAGACCTAGCTCCACAGCATCAGTTACCATGGAGACCTAGCTCCACAGCATCAGTTACCATGGAGACCTAGCAGGTTAAAAGAGAGCCACCATCGTGACACTGAAAACTCTGACTTCAATCAACATACCTGCTAACCCGCTAGTCTCGTTTCGTAGTGCAGCCCTCAGCCTGGCTAAGCTTGTTTTCTATAGTTTGGAAATACTTCCGGTATCATCGCCTTCACAGTAAATCAAAGATAGTCGTGTAAAAGTATACCTACGATTGTCCCACCACTAAAGCCAAATTCGGTCCCCATAAATCACGTATATTTATCCATGGCTGCGGATGGAAATACCTCCGTTCATATATCTTTTTAAAATCTTACGCTCTTATTCTGAAAACGTTTCCGAGCTCTTCCGGCTGCCAGCTCTAACCTGGTCTGACTTGACGTAGCAGTGGAATGCTAAATGAGCTTATTGACAACAGAACCAGGAGAGAACAGAACCGGTTGTTGGGTCAGAAGCTCAGCAGCAGCTTGTACAGTGACAACAGGCCGAGGTGTGACTGTGACCAGAGCAACACACGAGGCGCGACTCGGACAAACCTGCTTTTTTGCTCAGAAACTCGGACCTCTCGTCCTCCATCAGCCTTCGCTGGCGGCTGATCTCCTCCTCATAGTCGGAGATCGTAGTTTCCAGCAGCCCGAATATCTCGTCCACGGCCACGGCGAGCCGCTGGTGGATGAAGGTCTTCAGCGTCTGGAGGGTGGACATGTTCAGGGGAAAGTTGCTCCAGAGGAACCGTGTGGGTCTCTCCAGCCTCCGGTGGCTCTGCTCCCGCCTGATGACGTCACTAGTGTTCCCCCCCAAATCCCGTGTCAGGGAGCAACTAAATAAACGTAATGACGTCATCAGAGGCCGTCGTCATAAACATCCCCACAGAAACTCATTTCAGTATTAAAGGACTGAAAACCTGATCTGATCCATCTCATCCAGGGGCGTCCAGTCCTGGTCCTCCAAGGCCACAGTCCTGCATGTTTTAGATGTTTCCCTCTTCCAACACACCTGATTCAGATGATCAGCTCATCATCAGGCTCTGCAGAAGCCTGATAACCATCCTGATCAGGGAAACATCTACAACATGCAGGACTGTGGCCCGGGAGGACCAGGACTGGACACCCCTGGTTTAATCCACCATTTTAATGCAACCCACAGGAAGGTCTGATGCATCATCAGCCATCATCTGCTGGAACACATTAATACCCGCTACAGCCAACTCTGGGTCAGGACAATTCTTCAGCACACCTTCTGAAATGACCAGAATCTTTTCTGCGTTACAGGATCTGGATTTCATAGTTCTGATCACAGGTGAATGATGAGGGACAGTTTCTCTAATTCTGCATTGTGCGCTGTTGCAGTGAAGCAGGGCCCCAAAGAGGGTTAGGAAAGCCCAGCTGGAACCGTCGCATCAGTTTCAGAACCCCTTGTTCACCATGTGACTGGTTTCTGAACGTGGGCCAGAGCTGCTCACCGTCTCAGGTACATCTAATGATGCCGTCCTGTCCTGCTGCTCATCTCATTCTCTGGTTGGACTTTCAGGCTGCCACTAAAACCTGTTTCTGCAGCTCAGCCAATAGGACGGGGCGACAGCTCCTAGCTCCTACACCTGGCGAGACTCAGGAAGGGATCCAGACATAAATGTTTTATTAGACAGACACACTGACAGACAAACACTGCACTTCAAGGCTAAACGAGAACATAGAGCCCAGTACATGATGTGTAGGATCCACAGGAACAGGGTCTTGATCCACAGGAACAGGGTCTTGGGCCACAGGAACAGGGTCTGAACAGGCTTTCCAACTGACACACACCAACATTCAAACCATCCGGAGGCCTGAGCAGCCAGGAATCAGAACCCAACTGCCTGACTATTGGACCACCTGCTCTACTCCTGGACCAGCGGCATGTTTGGACCATGACGGACTGTTTTCATGGCCAGAGCCGGTTGGTTGTATGAACATGTTGATTCTTTGTTGAGTTTGCTGCTGTAAATAAGATATTGTCCGAGTCTCTCACCAGCAGAGCTTTTCTCTCGTGTGGACAGTCATGTGTTGTGTCAGATTTCCTTTCTGGGCAAACCTCTCGCCGCAGACCGGACAGCTGCACGGCTTCTCTCTGGTGTGGACCGCCAGGTGCTGCGTCATGTTCCCCTTCTGAGTGAATCTCTTCCCACACAGGGAGCAACTGAACGGCTTCTCTCCAGTGTGACACCTCATGTGCGTCTGCAGATGGTGCTTCTGGCCAAACCGCTTCCCACATTTGGAGCAGCCAAACATTTTGTGTCCCCCCACATCATTCACAGGAGCTTTCGTTGTGCTGATGTTCACAGGTGTCTGGGGTTTCCTCATCTCCCTCCAGCCGTCACCTCTGTCTTCAGTCTCAGCTTCAGCAGAGCGTGACGTCCTGTCATCAGACTCTGACGGACACTGAAGACCAGACAGGAGGACCTGGCCCGGTGGTGGTCCTCCACAGTCCTCCTCTGTTTTGATCTGCTGGGCTGAGCCACAACCTGGAGACTCTGGGTTCTCCTCCGTCCGTCTGTGATGAAGCTGTGAGGACTGAGCTTCCTCTTCAGGGTCAGTGTGTTTCACAGAGACGGCTGTGAATGGGACGCTGGGGACCTCGTCCTCATAAAGCATTTGTAGCTGCTCAGGCTCCAGACCGGGCCAGAAATCCGGTTCTTCATCTTTAATGTGCTGGCAGACTGGGTTGTCCTGGTTCAGACTGGAGGTCCACTGCTGCTGCTCAGAACAAAGCTCATCTTTGATCACCAGCTGCTGGATCTCTGCAGAAAAACATTGAAATACAGACAAAGTTATTGGAACCTGAACCTCAGCACATTGTTTCTGTGAACAAAACCCATCCAGAAGCACCGGACCGGCACCAAACAGACGGTACAGACAGATATGTTGTCGTCAAAGTTAAATTACCGTAATGTCTGGACTATAAGCTGCTGCTTCTTTCACACACTTTGAACACTGCGGCTTAAACAATGATGTGGCTGATTGATGGAGTTTAACGAGTTTTACGAATTTGCCTCGAGACCAAAGTGACGCTGAGAGCGACGACGACAGAAAGACTGAGGAAGTGACGAGGTGATTCTGAGGCTGTTCACCTCCTGAAGACGCTGAAGAAGACGACTTTAGTGGTTTTAGTGCAGGAGGAAGATGAAGATAGCGATCAGTGACTTTTCCTGGTAGGCTGCTGGAGTTTTATTTCCTCAACCAGCCGTGTTACAGGCGCTGTTCAGAAAAAAGCATCTACGGTACGTATCTGTGTATGTTACCGCTACGTATTTAATTAAAGGTTAAAACATCTTTCTGTGTAAATATCTCATGTTCCAATGTGGACACCTGCAGCTTAGAGACCAGTGCAGCCTGTATATGTACACACCTGGTTTCTCTTTAAAGCCAGTGGGTGGGGCTTATATTCAGGTGGGTTCTGTAGTCCGGACATTACGGTAACTTCTAAAAAAGTCTCGAAGCACTTTGACTGTCAACCGACCAACGTACTGGATGGACCGGTTCAGACAGTCCTGGTGCTCAGAGGATGAATCCTAATGGCTTCAGTGATTTTCTGATTCGGCCTCTAATCTGCTCGACGCTGACATTTTTAGTTTAAGTGAAATTAGCCATCTGAACCACAGGAAGGGGGCAGTGTTTTGGACTTCATCACTTTGCTATTTCTGGGGCCGTGTGGTTTCTGGTGACGTGAACCTGCCCTTTTCATAGCCCACTGGGAAGGCAGTGAAGGCACACGGATCCAAAAATAGAACCGAGCCCAGTGTAAACAAGCCTCAGTGCCACATTCGTAGAGCCAGAGCATCAATAAGCTATGACGCTAACAGTTTGCTAGCGGTACACTAGAAAGTAAGGACATCGCATCACCACAAGATGTGTGTCTACGAAGCACTGACATCCAAAACACAGCTTCTGGTTCTGATGTGTGAGGAGAGATGTGGTGATCTGGAGGATGGATTCAGTCAGACCTGGTCTCACTCTAAAGGCCGAGAGTTAGGGTTAATCCTCTTCTTTCACCTGGTTGGTGGTGTTCAGCAGTTTGGGGAGGAAATAAAGTCCAAATGTAAAAACACAGCTGAAGTCATTCAGTGGACTTACTGCAAATCACGTGAAGGGAAACAATCGGGTCATCAGGCTTCAGGTTTCATTCACTTCCTGTTGTAGGATCATATTGCTCCACAAACAGGAACATGAACAGGACCCACTATCTGCTGGTAGACCAGGGTGAAGACACCTGATTGGCCAGTGTGAGGTGCTTCCAGAGTGCTGGTCTCTTATCCGGAACAGAACCTGCTAGCATACGTTAGCACAGAGCTATAGCCCAGCCAGAAGTGAACCGGAGCTAACCTTTAACTTGGCCGTTCATCAAAGTACACGTATGCACTAAAATACAACTTAATACAGTGCACTACACCAAAAACAGGGAACTGCAGCCAGCCTTCATCAGACGGGAGCCCGGCGCTGATCCAACACCAACACATGGCGATGGTGGTGTAACGTCAGGCTCCGGCACATGTTGGTTCATTAGCCAGCTCCAGAACCAAGGATGGCTCCTTCTACAGCACACTCTGGATGCTGGATAACAGCTGAATGTTTTCCAGCTATGTTCTTTGCAGCTGCCTCTTCCTGAGCTAAATCCAAACAGCAAACAGGACTTCTGTGAACCAGGGAGTGAATCTTTAATGAGCTGCTGCTTGTCAGGTAACGCTGAGTTGGGACGGACGGAGCGAGAACAGCTCAGAGTTTGGTAACTGGATTTACTCAGGAGGCCTGTCTGATGCAGACCTTCATCCAGCAGGCCAGAACAACACCAGTAACCATGGTAACCATACACAAAGATGGCAGCAGAGTGGTCGACTAGAAGTGCTGAAATAGTGTGACAACACAACAACGAGACGAAAACTAGAGCAAAACTTGTAAAGAGTGATGAAGAAAGTCATTTTCTTTTATTTTGATGGTCACAGACCCCTGATTTCATCCTTTGTTGTTTATTGTCCCCTTACTTCCTGCAATTTGATTAGCAACTGTATGCTATCAGAATCCCGACTCCACCACCCCTCTGGTCACCAGACTCCGATTTCATCACCTGTGGTTCACTTTTCTGTGATTGGATCATTGAAACACACAAAAACAATCATGCATTTGTTTTTTTCATACATTTATTAAAAGTCTTCAGGAAATGTTACAAAA